AGGTGATTGAGATAAGAGGGGAAAGCTTCACAATCCTGATAGTGTCAACTTCAGCCAGACCTCAAGAACTACTAAAGCTAAGAGGTTTTAAAGAAGTGATCTACACAGGCATACGTAGACATACATGGCCAGAATCTTAGTTGCGCAGAGGGCCACAACGTGATCTTATCCATGTGTGAACGGATTCGAACATTTGATGCCACTCTGTGCTGGTGCCATGAATCCTGCAGGGGAGTCAGGAAAATTTTACTATCCTATGTTGTTCCTGAGGTGACTTTGTCCTGGCCCAACAGTCCCTCTGGAAGATCCACACCAAAACCTGACACTCCCCAACTGTGAGGTGATGAAGGTATCATTGATCCTCTAATGCTTATCTATGAATTTGTGTGGGGAAGGGGCATCAAAGTACATCGCACCTTCTCTCCCTTTTCTCTGAGTTCTGGGTTTCCTAAAAGATGAGAGTAATCAGGAATTGAATCCACAAACTGTCCTCTCATTCTTAGTGCTGTCACTAAATTTATGAATTTCCAAGTAGCTCCTTAATGCCACAACCTTTAGAAAGAGAAATCCACTTTCATACATGGTTGCTCTTGGAGTGGAATGAAGATGATTTCCCATCCCCACACACATATAGCTGTTACTGTTCTCAGTTGTTTTATAGGAATGAATGTTAAGGTAAGGTGGCCTTAAGAAAGTGGGTCTGAAGGCCTGTCGATTTTTAGAAATGAAAATTAAGGTTTTGTATTTGCTGTAGAAAAAGGAAAGCAGCAAGGGATGCACTTTCAAGAATGGACACGATTTACAGAGCTAAATATTACTTCACATTATCTGGAAAGATCCAAGTTCAACTAAAAGTCAGGTGTATTTTATTTCATTTGTAAAATTTGGGACTAATGCCAGGTAAAATTGCTACCTTGATATTCTCACTGGAACCATGAACTGGCCATATTTTACACTTTCGAAAGAACTATTATATATGCTTTAACAATGAGTATTATTTCTTTAATGTCTCTGAACACTTTTTACACTGTTTGAACTTGTCAATCCTTGTAGACCTGTTAATTCGTGCTATACACTTGAATTGAGTTTGAGATGTTTGTTTCAATGTGCACCTTTTTTCCTCTAATGTTAATCAAGTCAAGTACTGAAGTTATATACTTAAGTTGAAAATATATTCCTATATAAAAAGAAACATATAAACCATTCCTATGTCAACCAAAATTCATACCCAACTCATTTTATCATAACTGATTTTAAGGAATTAATAATTTCAAGTAACAGCACAAAATTAGCCTTTCTCCTCATTTCCACAGGATTCTCTGGCTTGTCTATGGCTTGTAAAATATTACACACTCAGCTTAAAAAAATGGACAGTACGTTTCACATGTACATGACAAGTGGGTAATAAGAAGATAGAGTTGCTGCCCTAAAGTATTATAAGATGATGTAAGAGACTGCTCCAAGGTATAAAAATTCATGTGCATTATTTTCAAATTGTTCATCTTAAAATTTTGCAAACTAGCTTCAAATTTGAAATTTGCAGGATTCTGACTTTTGGAGTTTAACAAAACTTATCTCCCTACAAAGTGGGCCCATGTTTTACAGCAGCTCTAGCAGACAGGTACTTTGGGACAGGAGAGCAGTATACCAAAAGTAATAGTACAAAAACCATTTAATCCCTCTAAAAGTTTGCTGAAAAACCATTGTAAAAAAGGCAACATATTCAGTTACAGATCAAAAATGAGATAGACTCATCTTCTATTTCCATTGGCTAGCAACGAGGACGGAATTATGTCTGCTGTCTGATGGATGAGCCTGTATTGGAAAGAAGCAGTCTCTGATGAGGACTAATGAAGGATTTAGTAACCTGAATGCTGAGAAACATGCCTTGTCTGTGATAAGGAATGACACTGTAGATTAGAGGGCCAATATCAATGATACAGCAATCTTGCTGACCTGAACACCAGCACACTCAGCTTTAGCCCCTCGCCAAGGAAATTGTCCTCCAAGCCAGCAACTAAGACATGTTGTTGACAACGAAGAAGTTATGAAGTTTTTTGGTATACTGGATTTGAACTTGTGGCCTCAGAATGAATCATCTAGGCTGGCTTTCAAACTGTAATCACTCTGATCTCTGCCTCCTGATTACTTACTGTTAATGGTGAAAAAAGGCATGTTGGATAAAATGTAAGCACAGATAGAGATGCTAGATTAAAAGAAGCACGGGGTTGATCAATACCTCAGCAATGCTTTATTGGGAGGATTCTCTAAGAGGCAGACCCCAGTAAGAGAGGAGTACCCCAAACTACTTGCAGATTAGGGACAGATATAGACAGCCAAGAAAGGAAACTCACGGCAAACCTCCCAGGAGGTCAATGGACAGGAAATATACTCCATAGGCCCTCTGCCACTCCCGAGATAAGCGGTCTTTTATGAGGCTGGGTGGGAAATTTCTAGTAATTGACTAAAGGTGATGTTTGTTATTCATTAGGGCCAGGTTAGAGTTTTCATTAAGCCAACTGTGATGAGGAAGGGCCCAATCCAAAGGTGGCTGCCCAATCCTTACTCTAACAAATTAGAATTGCAAGCTTGAACCACCAGCATCTACCTCACACTATGAGAGTTAACCACACACAGACCAGTTTTCCAGGAATGACCATACCCATCTGTACTGACCAGAATGGAGTTCTCAAGACACGTGAAGTATTCCTACTTAAATCTTCCCACCCTCTTGCTAATGGGTGCGTGTTTGATTTTTTTTTGTCTTGCATTACACAACTTGCCCAAATCTACTATAGATCAGTACAACTACCCTGTGTTCAGATTCCCAGTGCTTTCCATGAAAAAAACTCTTCTTAAAACTATTTTCTTTTCTTGATGAATTCTTTACACAGATGTGCATCAAATGTCCTTATCACCAACTTATATGCCCTTATCTTGTGTAGAAGTGTAACCACATGTTGCTGTTTGCTGTCATTTCTCGCATATTCCGCTTGATAGTTTCTGAAAACATTTTAATTAAGTTACCTTTCTGTCTTATTTCTACTGTTTGCCTACCAAAGGAAGGGTGGTTTTGTGCACAACTGACTGTGTTTACTCTGAGTTGTCCTGATTCTCAGGTATGTTTACAATTCTCTACTTCCAGCCACACAGTGTAAAGTATGTAAACAAAATCCCTTTTATGAAGTATACTAGGTAGAATAAATGCCTTAAGACATTTGAATTCAGTGGACAAATAAGGAAATCCCAGATCAGGGCCACCAAGAGCTCACACCTTATTTTAGATAGTGAAGAAGAGCAATCAGTAGCATTATGTTTTGAAGCTTGCTTGGGAAACATTTGAGGGACCTTATCTTTAAAATACTTAAAACACACACAAAGTTTGCTGGGTGACTCATATGGTACACCATCTGTGCACCAACTCTTTCCAGCAATTAAGGAAGTCTATTAATGCGACTGTCCTTATAGGCTGGCAACAGATTAAGAAGCATAAAAAGTGTTTCTTGAAAAAAATTTAGACATACATATCCCACAGATTTCCAAGAATGTATTTGGCAATTGCCAGTGGCTGGGTCCTATAATTCTAGTACATGAGAGGGTAAGAGAGGAGGATCATGGCTAGAGGTCAGCCTGTGCAAACAGTTCACAGACCCTTGCTCTGAAATAACTAGGAGAAAATGGACTGGAGGCTTGGAAGTAGAGTTCCTTCTCGCCACCATTAGCCATGAATCAAGCTCTCTCTTCATACCATAATCATATAATTTGTATGTTCTGAAGGAGCACTGGAAGTGTGAATGCTTAACTACGTTACACACATGAAAAGCATTGTGCTACCAAGGAACTGTCTCATGTCAAAACAATGCAAGGTGAAGACATTCCCATTTACTTACATTGATAGTGTTTCTGAGTTCATCCATATCACTATAGTGTGATATCTTACTTGTATTTTTTGGTAATGGGAATGAGAAGATATTCCTACATATATTTCACCTGTGGATTTTCTCTCTAGTGTGAGGACTTCATGTTGAGTCATGGAAATTAGTGATGACTTTTCTAATTGATTTCTAAATACAATTATTCTCTATTTTACTTTTGTATGTTTTGAGGGAGCAGTGGAATGTATGAAGACTTAGCCAAATTACACATGTGTACATCATTGTACTACAATGTGAACTGTCTCATGTCAAAGATAACTGCAATAGTGTCTCTGAGTTCATTCATGTTGTTCAAGGAAATAGGGATGTGTGAACGTTTTATTTGACATAACCTAGTGTTTATTTACAAGATGAGTTCTTTCAGGTGCATGAAGGGTACTAGAATAAGGAAGGCTTTCCACACTGCTTACATCCACTGGGCTTGTCCTGTTTGCATTTTGTTGAGTATGACGAATACTGGATAGAGTGTAGGTTTTTGCTCATTCCTTACATTTATAAAGTTTCTCTGAATAATGTCACTGGAAATTATTCATATCCATGGCTTTTCTCTCTAGTCTAAGTACATTTATGTCTTTTAAGGTAATAGGGCATGTGAACACTTTAGCCACATTGGTACACCCATAAGGTTTGTCTTCAGTGTGATTCTTTCAGGGCTCAAAGTGACCTAAATAAGTGAACACATTCTCACACTGCATGTATCTATAAGGTTTCACTTGTGTGTGAGTTCTTCTGTGTGCTTGATGGTGAGTGCATTGAGTGAAGGCTTTCCCACATTGCTTATTCATATCCAAGTGAGTTCTTCATGAATATAAGGGTTACTCACTGTACACTTTCCTACATTACTTACATCCATAGGATTTCTCTCCAGTGTGAGTTCTTTCATGAATACGTAGAGTACTTGAATCAGTGTAGGCTTTCCCACATTGCTTACATCCATAAGGTTTCTCTCCAGAGTGAGTAATTTCATGTTTTTTAAGGAACTGGAATTAGTGAAGGCTTTCCCACATGCTTACATGCATAGGGTTTTTCTCCAGTGTGTTTTTCATGATATCGAAGGGACTTGAATCAGTAAGGTTTCCCACATTGCTTACATGCATAGGGTTTCTCTCCAGTGTGAGTTCTTTCATGTATTCGTAATAACAGGCATGAGTAAAGGCCTTTTCCACATTTTACATTCATATGGTTTTTCTCCACCATGAGTTATTTCATGATATCGAAGGTTACTCACACAAGTGAAGAATTTCCCACATTGTTACATGCATAGGTTTCTCTCCAGTGTGGGTTTCCTTTCATGACCACGAAGGGAACTGGAAAAAAAGTAGGCTTTACCACATTGCTTACATTTATAGGGTTTCTCTCCAGTGTGAGTTCTTTCATGATATCGAAGGGCACTTGAATCAGTGAAGGCTTTCCCACATTGCTTACATCCATAGGGTTTTTCTCCAGTGTGAATTCTTTCATGTCTTTGAAGGTGATTGAGTTGATTAAAGGATTTCCCACATTGCTTACATTTATAGGGTTTCTCTCCAGTGTGAGTTCTATCATGAACACGAAGATTACTGGAAAATGTGTAGGCTTTCCCACATTGCTTACATCCATAGGGTTTCTCACCAGTGTGAGCTCTTTCATGACTACGAAGGGCACTGTAAAATGTGTAGGCTTTCCCACATTGCTTACATTCATGTGGTTTCTTTCCAGTGTGAGTTCTTTCATGGTATCGAAGGGCACTTGAATCAGTGTAGGCTTTCCCACATTGCTTAAATCCATAGGGTTTCTCTCCAGTGTGAGTTCTTTCACATCTCTGAAGGCCGTTGGCTTGACTAAAGACTTTCCCAAAGTGCTTACATTCATAAGGTTTTTCTCCAATGTGAATTCCTTCATTAATATGAAGGTTACTGGAAGGAGTGCAGGCTTTCCCACATTGTGTACATCCATAGGGTTTCTCACTAATGTGAGAAGTTTCATGAAAGTGAAAGGTACCACATGGAGTGAAGACTTTTCCAAGTTGTTTCCATCCATGAGTTTTCACTACATTGTGTAACCTTTCATGGATTAGAAGAGCCAAGCCATCAGTAAACGTTTTCCCATAAGCATCACATATACTGCTTTTACATGGTGCTGTTCTAAGCCGAGTACCCTTGTTTACAATGTTCTCTGGAGTCTGTTGAAAGGATTCTGCACACTTAATACATTGTTTACATTCACGCAGTAACTCTAACATTTCATTTCTGTAAAACAGACAAAGATTACCATTGTTATACTATTAATGATGTATTAGAAGTTATGGTGTTTGTTAATGTGAGGATTTATGAACACAAATGTACAACATGTTCTGCAGCAGGGCCTGAGAACAGCTATTACCAAACAGTGGTTTTCACAATGTGTTTCCATCATACTATTTCCATGTTAGGTGTTTAACAACACTGAATGAATTTTCCTACATTCAAACACTTAAAGAGCTTATTGAGGTGCCTTGGACCAAAAGCATGTTGGATTGCAAAATAAAAGAATGAACATGAGGACAAAGGTTGAAAAATGTGCCAGTCTATACCAAAGCATGTAATAATCCCATTGTGATGGAATTTGATACAATACAGTTAAATTAGTTTTTGCACAGAGTGGGATTATTTTTGTATATTGAGCAACAGGACAGTGTCTTTTGTGACTTCTTTGGAAAAACATTATGAAAAATGGCACATATCAGATTTTGAATTTTCTGTTCGTAGATGTTTAACTTATTTTTCACTGATTTAAGTAATAAGTATAAGTTATAGTCCTATTTTCTTGGCTTTCACACTTCTTTTCAATGCCACATCTGATGTTCACTATTTTGGTTGTGAGTACAAATCACCTCATATTTCTTCTGGGATTCCTGAAGTCCTTTTCAATGTTTTCATTTTCTTCTTCTGTTTGTAAGACATAGACAAAGAGAAATCATTAGTATTTAATCGATATGAAAGAAAAATTTGAGACTTTGGCTATTTTCATGATATATATGATCATGAATATGAATGAACCATTACTGTCCCCTTCTAAACACCCCATGAGGCAACAACACCAATGAGTCACAACAGTAGTGCACACTTTGATTAAGGTAATGATGCCATATTTACCTATGTAGGACAGGTTTCTATAGGTTTCTAGCATCACTTCTCTGTAGAGCTTCTTTTGGGAAGGATCCAAACAGCACCATTCTTCCAGGGTGAAGCTCACGGCAACATCCTCAAAGGTCAGGGGCTCCTAGGAGGTCAAATACACATTTTTGAGAAGAACTGTGAGTGTCACAGCAGGGGAAATAGACAATCTCCGTGAAACAAATTCACAAGCTAATGTGGTCTCCACATATTCAATGCATTTTATTTTTATCACACTCTCATTCTCCATCTATACTCACAAGCACTTCATAGTAATTCTGACATATCACTGGACCTAACTGCTAAATTCAAAGCAGAATATGGTCACAAAAAGTACATGTTATAAACTGAGACTGTAGCAATCTACTAATAAATTCCTTCTTCTTAGTTCCCATTGGAGTAACATCAGGTGCAAATAGACTGCAGGAATAATGTTTTTACTACAATGAGAAAAAGATTAATGTCTACTGGCATTGCAGAACTGCTAAAGGGATAAAGCTCACCAAACCAAATATATAGTGTAAAAGGGGGAAGAGTGTCCTGAAGCAATTTATTCCAATAATATCCTATTGTGTATATACTATTTATGATTATTTGCACATTTCTGCAAGGTTCATCATACGGAGTCTGTAGTAAGAAAACCCACAGTGCACTCACTCATGGTCATGAATAGGAAGTTGGTATGACAAATAGTATTTAATATCTCTTTCCAAAACAATTTTATTTTATTTTGGGAATTGAGCACCTCCTTGGTGACTGTATCAAGAGAGAACATTTGGAAGCTTCTACCTGGCTTAGAACAAACCAACCCAAATTTAAAGCTAAATAAGACTCATGAAGGATCAGTCACATACTTACAGTTTTTGCTGTAGCAAGTAAAAACATAATGTAGAAAGAAAACATGTAGCATGTGTCCCTAGAAATAGAATGATTTCAACTAGCTGTATACAATTTTACAATTTCTAAAATATACCTTAAAACTCATGAACAAAACTACTTTAAAAAATGTAATCAGTGTCACAGATTGCAAATAGCAATTAAAAATAATTGGAATGAGAAAGTGATCATTTGAACTACATGTGGAGGCCAATTTTGTAATTCCACCAGAAGGACCACAAGTTAAAAATTGAAGTGATCTACATAGCAAGAACCACTGTCAATAAAGGAAGAATAATGAAGAACAATGGGAGAGAGCAAGGGAAATAACAGTGCCCTATTGTGTATAATTAGTAAACAATGTTCAAACTACATTATCAAGGACACTGTACTTTAACAAAGATTAACAAATAGGCCTCAGAGGAAAAGTAACCAGTCTTCCCTTGACTTTAAAGTAAGAGAAAATTGATTCCTGACAGAAGACACATCATACAATGGTGGCTAAGAGCACAAAATCTGCAACCCAGTTTCTCATTGAAAACACACATTGTATTCCCCAATGTCATGGATAATGATCCATTTGCATGGGAAATAGGAAGAAAAAATGGAAATACTTTTGAAGTCATGGTGTCACATGCCTGTCATCCCAGCAGTTGCAAACCTAAGCTTATGTTCAGTGAGATCCTGGTATGCATCTTTAGTTCAAGTCTCTGTGTAAAAGTGACACAAAAGGAAGAGCATTTGGAAACTCACTACCCAAGAAACAAACAAAATGAATTTGGAATGTTAATATACTAGAGTGGCAAGAGACAAAAAATGAGGATAAAAATCTGCAATGAAAGCAAAACATAAGGATTATTGTACTGCATACAATAATGAATGAGAACGTGATTGAAAAATGCACATGTGTTTTCAACATAAGACACCATGTATGAATCAAAATCTATGTCCCAGATTTAGGAATTAGCTGAGTAAAATAAGTGTTGAAATTACAAAAAGAGAAGAAAAGTATAACGCTTGAATGGACTGGCAAATGATGCAATCTGCACTGACATTTGTTTAATTCTAATTAATTAATTAACAGAGTCCTCAAATTGTTTCTAATACCCACAGGTCATATTATGAATGGTAATCAGAACTATGTTTCACATTCTGTACAATACATATAGAAAAGACCCCAAAACAATGACCACTGTAACAAAAGGGAAAATAGTGTAATTCAATATCACATGTAATTGAGTGTGTGAAATTCACTCAAAGACAGCACCCAGAAGGCTTCAGTATGGAATAGGTCTAATACTTTTCTAATTCCAAATGGTCAAAAATAGAACACTGTTTAATGGACAAGACAGAAAAGGTAGGGAAAGGATTAAGTGGTATCTATCTAGTGTAGTAATGTGTGTACAGACCCTTTTCATTCACATCTACCAGGGTATCTAGATACCTTGTGTGCATGCATGTGTCCTTTTACTACCATATCCTAGTGAGAAAACTCTAGGCTTCTACACTTATAATTCTCAGACAGAACATCTCAATTCAGTCCCTTGAAGTTTCTACTAAAAAAAATGTCAAATGCAAAAACTCAGTATCTAAGATACTACCAAAATGTAGTTATCTTTGACTGACCATCACAGATATTCTTCATGTGTTGATAGAGAAATGTAAATCCAGAATAAGTAGACACATCAAAGTCAAAAAGAAAATGGTCCCCTAACAGCCACAGTTATACCTTTAAAAAGGAAAGAACACCCACCAGCATTTACCTGTGGCTCACCTGACTTCAAGTACTATGCAACTTCACACTGGCAACACACCTTCTCAGGGAAATCAGACTTTATTCTGTTCTATACTTTTACATTACTCTCTTGGAAAAATTCATTGTGTTCATTAAAAATGTTATTATTGGTAGTTGATTAATGAATTCTGTAACACTTGCATCCAGCTGGCTAATAAGCATATTGAATTATCTATCATCATGTTCTCCATTTTTCTCCTTTTTAATTTTTTGGTTTGATAGGTTTTGAATTCATGGCTTTAGTTTTGCAAACCAGATTCTCTATCACTTGAGCTACACTTCCAGTCGTTTTGCTTTGGATATTTTTGGAGATGGGAGCTCATGAAGTATTTGCACTGCACCAAAAACACTGAAATGTTAAAATAAGTGAATCCTTGAGAAAACAAATGAATAGCATGGTGGTAGGTCAATTTCTCAGCATGAGCAAGGCCATAGGTTCTATCACAAGCACTGCAAAAAAGAAACTATACAAAATGATGCAAACAAAAATCTAATGAACAAAACAAATCCAAGTGTTAACTACCTAGGAGGCTGAAGTCAGTAGGATCATGGTTTGAGGTTATCCTGTTCATCTGGGATGGTGCCATGTATCACCTCACTAGTATATATTCAGACACCACTTAAAGGGTCAAAGGATAACAAAAAAAGCTGCTCCGATTGTTCAGGATATTCTAAGAGTTTTAGTAATTCTGTGCCAGAACCTGGGATGAAGAGCAAACACAGTTTTTTAAAATATGTCACCCAAAAAAAAATAACCTCAAGTGAATAACTCCTTTCTTTCAGCTGGAGATCCTAAAGGTCTCTGACTTTCACAAGGTCCATCACAAGTTCCACAATTGTCACAAATTACATTGTGACTAGACAAATTCTATGAATGAAAATGCAAACAAGTGAAAACTTAACCAAGCAAAGTAATCTCGGTAACACTAGTCGTTAAGACTACCATACCACTTTCAGTCATGTTCCCATTATAATTACATGCCCACAAGGGAAGGACACACTTTTGGTCCTTCCATGTTCCACCTCAAATTCATCATCTTACTTGATCAGCTGAAAAACTACCCTACTATACACACTATCCTAATGAAATTCTCTACTATTTCAGGTCAGTCTCTGGCTCACTCTCAGGCCGAACCACTGTATCAACCCGTCCTTCATTGTCACAGGAAACACAGTCTCATGGCTAAGGATTTCTGGTCCAGGAGATAATTTGGGCCCCTCTTTTACCTATAACCTCTCAAGTTCATTTTATAACATTTTGCTCAACTTTACTACTCTTGAAAAAACAGCCCTTCTTTGCCTTGCCTTGAAGCAACAGCATACTCTGTTCTTGGGGTTGTCCTGCCACTGAAACCCCAAGTTCGTGTTTTGCCTCAATCTTCATTTCAGTTTTGAAAATGCCATCTAGACACCAGCCAAGGAGAACATCAATTATGTTCATAAACCTTTGATAAGTTTCTAACCTCAACCCTCCCATTCAAAACTCAATTGCAAGTGCACCACCACTGCAGTGAATTGTGCAACGTAAGCTCTCTAAATTTCGGGCTTTACTAGAACCCTAAGTAGCACATGTCTGGGATCACGTTGTGCATTCAAGACACTGCTTCCACATTTTTGCATAATTCAGGACCATCAATTTTACCCTGAGAAGTTTGGAAGGAGCAGATAACACCAAGGATCACATATTCAGCTGAAGGGAAGCTACTACCTCCTACCATCTCATCATCTGGGGAGAGAATCAAGGGCTCCATGATGGGTCAGGTTACTCAGAGGTATGGGACAGGATGACAGATTCCTGCTCATCTTTGCTGATCCACACACAATAGAGAGGATGGAGGGCCACAAGGCACTGCAGGAAACTCAGGCCCCAAAATCCAGTGCTATGCTCGGAAGGCCAAGATATCTCACCACTGCTACAAGCAGTCCAACATCCTCATCCTCTGGAGACTGGTGACACTGGTAACAAACACTACTTCTACCTGCTATGGTGATTGGGATCCTGCCCTCCAACCTAGCTGAGCTCACATATGACCTGGGTGTGAGATTCAGTTCCACTGTCTCCGTATCAGAAGAATTCTCAGTGATTCAGAAAATGATAGGAACTAGACAGTCATTTTCCAAAGATTAGGGGGTGGTACCTCCTCCCACTGGATTCTGCTAGACCAACCTAGACAGCTCTTTCCCTCCAAATACAGTGCTTTTCATTGGCTCTTGAGCCAAGGCTCTGTCACATTAGATCCGTGTGACAGGAGAAGTTATACATCACATGGTATAGAGCCTGGACCAGTAAATGGTTCCAGGCACAGCCCTTAGCAGACCAGGCCTCCTCCTTGGACCTTATGGTACACAGTGTGGGGATGCACTGTACTGAAGCAGAACGTGCATCTGGCTTTTACAGAACAACTCTATTTCTTTCACATGGAAATGGAGTCAGGAGTCTGCTGAGAATATTCCAAATTCAGCATCTAAGGACACAGCTCTTGATTTCACAGAAGGATCAATGTGTAGACAGGGTGAGGGAGATATCAATAGAATAGGAAAAAAAGGCCTGGTGCCACACTATGTTGGTATCAGTCACTTGTCTTTGAGGACAAGGATTTCTCACACCTGTTCCCTCAAGCTATCTATTAACACCCAAAAATGTAAGAACAAGCTGGGTGCTAGTGGCTCCCACGGGCAATCCTAGCTACTCAGGAGGCAGAGATCAGGAGGATCATGGTTTGAAACCAGACCAGGCAAATGGTTTGTGAGTTCAAATCTTGAAAAAAAAAAAAAAAACCCTTCACAAAAAGGGAAGGCAGAGTGACTCAACGAGTACACCCTTAATTCAAGCCCCAGTTCTGCAAAAAAGTAAAAGAAAAAAAAAAAAAACAAGAAAGAACATACTAACAAGTGAGCCCAATTATTAGGTAGAAGAGAAGCTGTAGCTATCCCACCAATTCCATACACTCAAAAAACCCCTCAAGTTAATAAAAACCTGTTTTCTAACAGAAAGAACCAAATGTGTCTTGTTTTCCCTTTGTTTTTCACAAGCTATCTCAACTGTCGTGAGGTACATTCTCACAAGATCAACCCCCTCAATGAAAATGCAAACAACTTCCTGGTGAAGAGACTCAAGGGTACAGCAAGTGTAAGACAGATTTCAAACCACAATACCAAAAAAAAGAGAAAATACGATCAGTTGAAATATTACCAAAGCAAAGTAATCCTAGAAATCACTCATGATTAAATAACACCATCTTTTGTGTTCCCATGACACTTACATGTCTTTCCTCAGTAAACCTAAAACAAGGCAAGGCTCACACTTTAGGGAATCCCAATTTCTGCCTCAAAAGCTTTACTTTAATTGTTCAATAGAACCAGAAGAGCTAATAAGGAAACTTTCCTGAAGGTTGTCTCCTTTTTATACTCCTGAATTTTATGAACCACCCTTGACCTGAGGCAACACAACAACCCCTTTTTATGGTCACCTGAAGACAATTATCAGCTCAGGGGAAAGGATATCTGATCAAGGAGCAGATGGCTCCCCCTGTTATCCTTCCTCTCCCAGAGTCATCCACAACAGTATGCCCTCCCTAGAAAGCACAGCCCTGCTCTACCTCACCCTTGAGACCCTGCAGACCTCCGAGTTGGTGCTGCCCTGCACTGCTACTTCAGTATGATCAGTCCCTGTCTCCATCTGAAATTAAAGTTTGAACATAGTATCTAGACAACTCCAATTATGTCAGAAATTGCAAAAACTTCAACCTTCAACACATTCCCAACATGTTCCCTTTGTTATGAATCCCACATGCACATGCAGAGTCTTTGCCTTGAGTTGGACAATGCAAAGACAGGTTATGAATTTATCACAGCCCTAAGAAGAACTGGGCTGTGGACCTGGTTCTAGTCTGAAATCAGCTTCTAAACACTTAGCTAATTCTGGGCAATCACCAAGTCCATAAGGATAATTGAGGAAGCCAAAACCTCCCACCCACTGAAGGCTGGGGGACCTACAGCTCAAGTGCAGAGGAGTCCTAACAGGATGCTGAGCAAGGTCTATGTCCTGCACATAGAGGACATGATGACAGAGTGTGACCATCTGAACAGTCCCACCCCAGGGAAAAGAACAAATGCAAAACTTCACAAGCAGTGAGTCAGGCCACAAAATGCAGTGATGTACTTGGGAGCACCAGGTCTGTACCAACCTTTCCAAGCCATTTCATATGTCCTCATCCACCTAGGCTCTGGGATGCCACTTACAAAGAGCATTTCAGGCTTCTTTGCTGAGTGAAGTTCTGGTCACTCACATGGGACCATGTGCAAGTCACAGTAGGAGAGAGACTAAATTACATAAAATTGCTCTCAGCATCAAAACGTGATCCAGAAAATGCCCATATCAGTAGGCATTTCCTGTTTTAATCAGAGGGCCCTACTTACACCAGACTGATTTGCCAATTCTCAAGCTCTTCTCACTGGATAGTGATCCAGAACCCACCCCTTGAGATCTGAGCAACAGAAGTAATCCCCTACTAGGGAGAGTGCATAAACCAAATAATTGAATCCAGGAACAGCCATCTGCTGTTCAGGCCTCCTCACTGGTGCCTACCCACTCCAGACTGGTGATGCATTGCCATAAAGCGGAATCTGCTTTTCAGAATGGACCTTTCTTCAACAGGGAAATAGAGCCTGCAATATGGTGAGAGAATTTCACACTCACTTTCCCATGGGGACACACTGTGATCTCAGAAAAGTTGTGGTTCTAGGCTAGGCCAGGAAAATGGAAAAACTTTGCATGAAGATAACATCATATCCACTCTTACACACAAGGAACAAATGACAACAAATATGAAGAAAAAGGGAAATGTGGATCTTCGTTAAAAATGCATTATAGGTGTTCCTCAGACTACTTTTCCTAAAAAGAATGGACTCCAAACTCAGTCCATCAATTCACTAAAAGTAGGAAAAAATATGGCACCTACCATTTTGAATCAGCCTGTTCTCTGAGCCATCTTCAGCACTCACCTTGCAGCCCCCTTGGAATCTAGGATCGAGAAGATAGATATTTTCTTCATGACCTGAAGCCAAATCTAACGCCAAGAACAGATCCTCCTTTGGATGGACCATCCTCTGGTTAACAATTCCAGAACCACACCCATAACAACAGCTGAGTTGTAACAACTACACCACCCCTGTGACGGGAACTATTTAAGTGCATATCTTTGCTCCCTGCCCCTTGCCTTTGCCTATTTAAATCTATATCTCATGTCTGTACCGTGGAGATGGTGAACATGAGCTGAGTACTTAACTCTGCCTCATCCCACACCATATCCTAGTTGTGAAATAATACTACTTTCCCTGCCTTCACCATGCTTCTTTATTTGACATTGAAGGGTAACTAGCTGGACTTACAATGTCCAATCAGAGGAGCTTGTGCCCTTGGTCCAAAATTCTGTTTGCAGAAAGAGAAACTGACTGTTGAAAAATCTCTGGCTGTGGACTCATTTCACAAAGCCTTTCCTTGGAAGTGTTTAAAGTAGAACAAAGGACATTGGCAATCACGTAGACAAAACAAAAAAGCAGAAATATTACATACAAAGAAGATAATATCAGTGCAGACTTAGAAATCCTCAAAGGATTACATAGAAAGCATGAAGATGGATATACAAGTTCAATGAAACCATCATTATAGGTGCTTAATGGTGGACTAGAGGAAGAAGAATAGAGTCAGCATGAAAATGATTGAAATTATGCAGCAGCTAGAAGAGAAAGAGAACACTTTTAAATTCACAGAATGGATCACAGGTATCTGAATTTTGTAATGGTTGAAATATCTCTAGAGAAAAACAAAAACATATAAGCTAAGAACTTAGATCACATAAACAAAGAGTAAGGAAATTAAAAATGAACAAAAATTGTTTATTGCCAAAAGTCATTCAAAGTAAATTATGGACTAGTTAATCATCCCTTATAATATGAACAACCAGTAAGAAAATTATATATGGGTTGAAGAATAATAGTGGGGAATATACCAATATCTGCCCTGTCCATGAAGCACCACACCTTTACTTGAAATGCATTTAACTAACTTGGAAAAGAATTTTTTATATGTTTGGGAAATTACTACCAATACATTTTAAAAGTACTTAGTATTATAAAGGGGGATAGAAATGTGATTATATAATTAATAAATTACTGCATGTGTGAGACTGGCCCAAGTGGTGTAGTGCTTGCCTTAGCAATCACAAGACCCTGAGTAATAAATAAGTAAATAAATAGGTAAATAAAGAACTTCAGCAAGATTGTACTACACCAGCTATATGCAAAGCACATCATTTTGCTAAATTTCTAATAACCACCTGAACTTCACACACTAGGAGAATACCATTTACACAGAACAAAGGAACAGTAAAAGAAAAATGACATGCAGAGGTAGGGTGAGATGGGGTGTTAGCAACATGAAGGAACAAGTACAAAAAATTGCTCAAAACCAAAGGTTATGAATATAGTACAAAAAACAGCATACAAAGATGTTTAATGATAAATGGACAAGTGGAATAAATTAGAACAGCCACATATTTTCAAATCACAGAACAAGCAAACAGCCATAAAAGGTTAGTTAAAATCATACATTGCCAAAACTTAACAGTAAATTTAATATATCCATACTCTATAGAGCACCAATGCCACAACTCCCACCCTAAAACAATATTCTACTAACAGGGTAGAACACTAGGACAATGTTATATAATTAAAATGAGCAAAATCTTTTGGGTCAACCTCACAAGGGATATGGTTTATTGGCTTGAGTCTTTGTGAAAGACCTATTACTCCAGAGACTGTTGTCATGCACTCACTGTGAGGTGAGGGAAATACTCAGAGTCATCTAACATCCTGTGACCTCATTGAGCTATCTTAATCTTTGTCAATGTACATTGACTTCTACTAAATGCAATGTTTATTTTCAGAAACCTGATCTCTCCACCATTTTAATTTTGCTGAGATTTTCTTTACCATCACTTCTCATAAAAATATGTGGTGTTATCAACACCAACCAACTTTCAAATACAAACTAATTTTTTCTCACTTCAAATCTGACACCGTTCAGAATTAGCAGAGTCCCTCCATCTTCTAGGCAGGGTAAAAGAGACAAGAAGCCATAGCACTTCTTTGCTATGTGTGTTCAAGACAGTCACCTTCCTAAAGTTATAAAGATGTACCACCCTGAGACCCGTCATTAGAATAAATGCATACATTGCCTCAGTGGAGCTTAGGAAAACAACCAAATACACTCCAATTGCCTCAGAAATTTCAAGGATTTCATAATCACTGCACTAGAAACTGACACAAGGACCCAGTCTTTTAATTTATACTACACACCCACATCACCTTCCAAATACACCAACTTTTGCCACATCAAGAAAAATATAATGGTGTCTTTCTCTAAGCCTGAGCCTCCAAGAATTGTCTTCATTTGCACAAATTATAGTCTGTCTAACCAACTATTTCAACACGAAGTGAAAGTAGTGCAATGATATATTCTTAATGTTGCAACCCTCATAAACAGCTGCAATTAAACCACACTTCCACTCATTTTCACACTAGCAAAGGAGCACAGAAGCAACATTCTTCCCTTTTCCCCATTTGTAAACTCAGATACTTCTCCATACACTGTCCAAATGCCCTTTTTTGCATCAAAAATGATTATGAAGTAATCATCACAAATATCTTCAAAATGACTTGTAAATAGTAGGTGATCTGACAAATCTCAGCCTGAGTCACCAAATCACACTTTAGAGTCACCAGAAAATCAGGAAAAACCCAGGTCCCTGTGGTTCACATCTGTAATCCTGGCTTCTCAGAGAGAGAGAGAGAGAGAGAGAGAGAGAGAGAGAGAGAGAGATCAGGTTTGTCTTGGTTCAAAGCCTGTATAGCAAAAATTTCTTGAGACTCTATCTCGAAAAAACCCATTACCTACAAGGGCTATTGGGGTTACTCAAGAGGTAAGAGCACATGCCTAGCAATCATGAGGACCTGAGTTCAAATCCCAGTGCACTCAAAAAAAACAAAAAAAGACAATGGAGATCATAGCACTGGTAGCTCCTTCCTATAAACCTAGGTATTGGGGAGACTGACATCAGAATTACAGTCAAAATCAATATGAATGAATGGTGAACTAATAGCAAAAAATTGTGCTATCAGAATTTCCTCTCGCGTAAAGTTACATGAACTGTCTTAGGAGCCAAGTGTGTTTTTCCCCGTAGGTGGAGTGCAACTGATGACTATGAACTGGAGAACAAACAAAAGAAAAATAATTTAGTATGACGTCAGACATTTGAGAACAAACTGTTGTTAAGACATCTGTTTTGCCTATAAGAAAAATGGTATTTCTACTATTTCCAACCCATGATTGTTTATTGGCAGCAATGGGGCTTAAACGTAGGGTCTTCACTATGTTAGGTAGGTGCGCCCCAGTGAACCGCTGCACAAACCCCTTTTGTGCTGGTTACTTAGTAGACACAGTCTCATTTCATAACTCAGCCAACCTGGCCGCCGTCCTTCTATTGGTAATTCCAACATAGCTAGGATGAGAAGCATGTGTCACTGCATGCACCCTTTGGTGTAATTGGATATTGAGAACCATCTTGCTGGGGTTGTCCTTGCACCACATTACTCCTCATCTTGACATATAGCAAGGAGTACAGACTCAAACAAATGAACCCAGTCCAAACCATGGCTTTAAGTAAGAGGAAGCATATGATTGATAAGTGTCCTTATTTTCACATCAGAGGAAGAAGAATTTTTATAAGCTGAGTTACATAAATTTTATGAAGAAGTTGAAATTAAAGAGAAACTCAACAATATAAATCGATGGAGAGAAAGACACCCACATCAGATCAAATAATTGTAATTTAATTGCACTTATGACCCAGGACACCATCAACAACCCACAGAGCAGGCTGTTCATGATGACCATGAAATATAGGGAGTGACAGAGGTGGTCACATATCTATTGTAGGCCAACACAGCCAGGAGGAAGTTGTCCAACATTGCAAATAATCCAAAAAATAAATTTGGGTGATGCAAACTGCATAGGTGATAGGTTGATGTGTCTGGATGTTCACCAGCATCTTTGGGACGGAGGTAGAACTGAATCTGATGTCCAAAAAGGACAGTTTGGAGAGGAAGAAGTACATGGGCATGTGCAGGTGGGAGTCTGAGATCATGGTCTGGATGATGTGCAGGTTCCCAAGCACAGCAATCAGGGACATGGACAGGAACAACAGTCTGTATATGAGAGTCTGAAGATCTTTTTGTTCTGAAAACCTCAGAGGAAGAAACTCTGAAATTATTGTACAGTTTTTTCGTTCCTGGTGATGTGTATGACCGTCAGAAAAGAGAAAATGTTTATGACAGAATTTTATATATCTGGACTCTTTTATTATATCCATCATGACATTTCTGATTAGCACTTCCTTTATCTGTCAAAGTTTTCTTGACTATATTTTATAATCCACTCTTTGGATAAAGAAATCTATTTTGAACTTGAAAAATGCAATTTCAGGTACTTCCTTGTTCTCAGCAGTGTGTAATCAATGAGCTGAAAATAAAAGCTCTTACAGATTTCGCATGGATAAAGAATATAGATAGGAAGAGCTACTTGGAGATGACCAGTGACCAAACAAAAAAGGTGCCCAACATGAAACTGCTAAGGATAGCTGCTAGGATCCAGCAAGCAGAAATGGAGCCACACATGTCACAGGCTGTTGACCAAAGACCCTCTCTAGAGCCTGCTGTGAACTTCTCTGGAATCCTCTCAACATTGCTGTGAGCTCACATGACCTTCCTTGAACCAGGCTTGACTCCATGGATCCTGCATGCTCACTGGTGTTGGCTGCAAAAGCCAGTGAAGAAGAGGCACCCACCACATAAGATCTATTGGCACCCAATGGTAGTCCACAGAGGTCCCATGGAAGAAGGCAAAATGAGACCTGGGAGGGCTGACCACAGCACAGCAGCAGGAATGGCA